AATACGAAAAGCAATACATATTTTAGGCGAACCCATAAAAAGAACAACAATAGAATCGTAATAATTTTAAAATATAAAATTTTTTTCTTCACAAAAAAAATACAAAAAAATTAAACCAATTGTATCTTTATACTACAAAATAATAATCCATTAATTTTTATAATAAAATTCTTTTATCCAACAAACAAGACATTAAAAAATTAACCAGTAATAGTAAAATAGAATTAAAATTATTTTCTAACAATTTATATTGATAAAAATAAACCAATAATTACATGAAAAGTTTGTTCTTCCCAATATTAATGAAAAAAAAACTTTTATAATGAGTTTTTTTCCCAACAAAATATACTAATATAAAATAATGTTTAATAAAAATTTTTTAAAAATTTAGACTAATAATTAAATTTAAAAATTTCCTTTTTTTTCAACAATACAAAAAAAATAACCCAATAAGAATTGTTAATTAAATTTTTTCCTTCACAAAAATTACTAAAAAAATATAACCCAATAATGTTTTATTAATTTTTTCCCAACAAATAATACTAATAAAAAAATAAATTAATAATAACGAAAATAGAACAAAATTCTTATCATTAACACATAATATACTAACCAAAAAAAATAACCCAACGATATATAAGTTTATTCCCCGACAAATTGTACTAATAAAAAATATATAATTCTTTTTCCATCAATTTATATACAACCCATAATAATTTTTAAAAAAATTCTTTTTTCCAACAAATGACTAGTACAAAATAACCCAACAACAAAACGCTCTAAATTTTTTCCCCAACAAATTGTAGTCGGAAAATTATTCAATACAATATATGAATAAAAATTCTTTTCCCCAACAAACATTTCTTTCATAAAAGATAACTCGGTAATAAATATTATATATTTGTTTCCCCAACAAATAAATCCAATAATAACGTTATCATCAGGCTCCTCACGTGGTGAAATTTCACAACTTTTATATTCACTAATAACTAACGAAAGAGGCGAGCACAAAACTTTATGCAAATAAGAAGCTCCAGTAATTCTATAATAAACATCCTAAACAAATAGTAAGAAATTATAATGAAAGTAATAATAATTCTACGCACAAAAAAATAATGCAACCAATGATTTTGAAGCAACTGAATTTCCTCGAAACAAAGTGGAAAGAGATGAGGCGTTAATTATTTCTTGCGAAGTTACTAATGGAGCCAAAAATAATCCAATCATTAACAAAAAAAACAGCCGCTTGTGTTATTTTTCATGTATTATGAGTTATAAAATATAATGAATATAAAAATATAATAAATGTTAAGTATTATTATCAAAAGGTAAATGGTATAAAAAGGTTATAAGTTGTTATAATGAAAAAAGTTGATATTCTTTATTATATCATTTTTTTTAATTTCATAAAAAGTTATATTATTTTGATAATTTATTATTTTTAAAAAAGATTGCTAAACTCTTATCTAGTCTTGTCTTCACTAATTTTTTGTATTAAAAAAAGGCTACCAAAACTTTATGAATTTTATTACAAATAAAATTCATCATAGTGATAGTCAATCAAAATATTATATACTTTTTGATAATTATTAGAAAAAACATTACAAAACGTTTTCTAAAAAATAGCCAGTCACAATTATATACTAACAGGAACAACCAATTGGCATCATTGGCTTTGATATTAAGTATAAACAAGAAAAAAATAATAGCCAATCAATACAAGTAATTTATAATACTGGCCAATCAGTTTAAGATATAAGTGTAATACAAAATAATCTTTATCCAATAAATTATTAATAGCCAGGCCAGCATAAAATTAATTCTAGCGAATAGCCAAACAACAAAAAAAAAATTTCTTTATGCAACAAAAATTATTAGTCAATCAGCGTAATAATTTTTAAATTGACCAAAAATACATAATTTATAGTGTTATTAACAATTGCAGTAAAAGTAAAACCTTGTTTTAAAAATTGAACCGCATAAGAAGTATTATCCAATGAGCAGGCTTCTAAAACTTCCAAATAAGTTCGCTGCAGTGAATATAAGCAAAACATAACAAAAGTTATTAGAAAAAAAGAAAGGCAAAACCAAAACTTCTGAACGTTCATCTGTATTTAAAGAGTGCACGATGGCCACAATGGCATCTGCATGAAAAATAAATAAGATAAGATATTTAATTATAAAAAAGGAAGAAAATGATTGGTTTATAAATACAAGATTGCGAAACTTTTATATTATTAGTTATTATTGTGAAGAAACCACTATTTCCAGTAGAAATAGTAAAAGTAATATATAAACTTACTTTCTTATTTACTTTTTAATACTGTTATATAAATTACTGTTTATATTAGTATATAGACTTTTATCTATTTAATATGTTTATGTTTCTTATATATAATTATTATAAATTTTTTTATATAATAATTAATAACTATTATTGTCATTATTATTAAATATTATTATTTATTAATACGTAAACTGGTTCACTATTTATTATTATTATTGTTACTTATTTCCTATATAAATTACTATTTTAAAAAAGTTATTTATAATATGTGTTAACTTTATTATTATTTATTATAATTATATTTTATCAGTTTTATTATTAGTAGTAGTATTTGTAATTAATATATTTATATTTCTTATTTCTTATTATTATTTTATAAGTATTATAGTATTACGCATTATAATTTCTTTATTATTATTACTTTATTAATTTATTAGTGGTAAGAGTATTTTTATATACTACTATTTTTTGGTTTATTATTCAATATTATTATTATATATTATTATTTATAATTTATTATTATTAAGTTACTCATTATCTTATATTATTATTATAAAGTATTTTTTATTTTATTACTATATATTTTACAATTATTATTAATATTGAGTCTTTATTACCTAACATTATCTTTATGAAATATTTTTATTTATTATTAATTATAATTGAGTATTTATTATTATATTATTAATAATTATTAGGACTATTGAGTATTTTATATTTATATTATTATTTATGAGTATTTGTTATTTATTATTATTATAAAATATTTCTCTACATAATTATTGAGTATTTCTTATTTATAGCATTATTAAATATTTTTATTTAAATAATATTAATACAAAATATTATTATTAGTTACTTGTTATTATCATTACTATTATTAATAACTATTCATTATTATTATTATTCGGTGTTACCAAAGTACTTCTGTTCCAAACAGCACTTTATAAAACTTTTATAGTTCGGCAGCGGAACAACAAAATCTTCGACGCAGCAGTACGTGAGCAGCACTTTCCCAACATTCGTCCGGCAAGGCAACTTTATCGCTTTATTTTTCAAGCACTCTGCGTGGACGAACAGGCCGCACGAGCATACACGGCACTTCCAGTAATAATTATTAATAATACCAAATTCATTAATTTTTAAAACATTCGAAAGTAGTAAACCGCGTGGTATTAATTAAAAAGCTAACTGGCCCAAAATTTCATAAAAAATTCACCAAAATTGATGAGCGTTTTGCACGAAAATCAAAGAAAAATGTTGATAATGATTATTGTTATATAAAGAATCATTACTTTTTAAACCAATTAATTAATCAGTAAACCACATGGCAAAATGTGCCAGCTTTCGAGCGTTATAAATGATGGGCTAGTTGAGCCAGCTCACGAGACAACGTGAGGAAAGTGGTGCATAAGTTCAACACTGGCCAACAAAAAAACTCACTAAAAAATTTGTGTTCTGCCCAAAAACCATAGAATTGGTATAAAATAAAATTATTTGGTATGTATATTTAAAATAAATTGTAGTTTTTTAATAATTATAACTTTCTCGTATTATTATCAGTAATAATATTTATCAATTTACCCTTATTTTGTAAAAATATTCATAATATTTATTTATTTAATATATATAAAAGATTTACTTTATTTTTTATTAAAACAAAATTTCCGCAAACGGCGCAAAGGCTATCCCCAACAAACTTTTCAACTTCCTGTTTGTAAAAAAAAAAACAAACTTCTTATTATAAAAGATACCATATTCTTTCTAGTATTACTTTTATATAGATAATCTAAGATAGGCAAAACTTCTAAAAAAAACTTTTTTGTAGATTTTTATTGTATTTACTTTAGTTTTTTTATATTATTATTTCATATTTAAAAAAAAACTTTTCTTTAAAAATATAGTAAAATATATTCTTTTCAAGTATTATTATATAAAAAACTAATGATTTAAAAAAAAATTATATGTATTTCATATAAAAATATTTATAGAAGTTTTAATAACTTTTATTTTAATTATACTAAAAAAAAAAGTATTTTATAAACTTTTCTTATATATTAAAGTTTTTATAATTGTTATGTTTTTTATATGCAAAACAAAAACTTTTTTTTATGAATATAATTATTATTATTCTTCATTAAATATATGATAATCTTATTGCAAACTTTTATTATATTTATAACAGTTTCTATATTATTATAATTAATATAATAAAATGCTTTCCTTTCTATTAATTTTATATTTATAAACTTTTTAAATTGTTATTATTTTTGTTCAAAATAAAAACTTTTTTTATGAAAAATATATATTTTTATTATTTTTCATAAGATAAAAAGTAATTTTTCTAATATAAAACATTTAAAAAAAATTGTCATTTTTACTTTTTTATATGTACAAAACAAATATTACTTATAATACTTATAATAATATTTTTTCCATTTATAATTATTATTACTTACATGTGAAAAGTTAAAAATATACCAAACTCATATAAATAATAAACTTTTTATTAAAAAAAATTTTATTATTATAAAGATTTACTTTTCATTATTTCTTTTTATATCTATATAAAGTTATTGATATTTTTTTGGTACTTATTATGTTTAAATATAAAAACTTAATTTAAAAAGAGGATTCAAAATTTATAATAAAAAATTTTATTTTAGATGAAATAATAATAAATTTTACTTCACTTACTAATTGTCTTATTGTTATCAAATAAAATTTGCCAAGACACCAAACTAAAGTAAAAAAGTATTTCATAATGCATAATTTATAGTTTTCAGTTTACCTTTCGTAATAGTTATATTCACTTTTTAATAAAACTAAAACTTTTGTTGATATTATATTAAAAGTTTAATATTTTGTTAAAAAAAGTTTTTAATATTTAAATTATTAAGTAAAAATTACTTTTTACAAGTTTTAACTATAAATAAACTTAACTAAAAGTAATTAGAAAACTTTTATTTATTTTTCGTTATTTATAACACTTTTATAATAATATTGAAAAAATACAAACTTTATAGTTAAAAATTATTATTATATAGGAAAATTTTAAAAATCTAAACTTCGTAGTAAAAAAAACTTTTAGCACTCTTAAAAAAAATACTTTTAACTTTTATGCTACTTCATCATTTACATTCCTTTCCATAGGGAAATTTATATATACAGACTTAATGATAAAAAAAACTTTATAAATATTATACTTCTCTATAAAAAATATAAAAATACAAACTTTATAGTAAAAAAAACTCAACGCAATCTTAAATTTATAATAACTAATATTATTAATAAAAAAAATACTTCGAACTTTTATTCTACTTCATCATTCACTTAACTTTTCAATTAAAAATTTAAAATACAAACTTTATAGTAAAAAAAACTTTAACAAACTTAAATTTATAAAAAAAATTATATTATTTTATAATATTTTACTTCTTTATAAAAAATATGAAAATATAAACTTCATGGAAAAAAATTATATTATTTTATATTTATAAATTTAATTTACTTGCAAAAATTTTTATTATTTTCATTTAAGAACGAAATCTTTTTAATTAAATTTAAATATAAAATTTCTTTTGTTCTACTTTTTGCTATAAAAGTTATGTATCTTTTTAATTACTGTGAAATTATGATTGGATTTTTGGTAAGATTTTCCTTTTAGTAAAGGAAGACAAACCATGTGGCGACGGGAATCGTTCTATAAATAAAAATAATAAATTTAACGAAATTAATTACTTCATAAAAATTTTGATAAGTTTATATAAAATTCTAAATTTAAATAATAAAAATAATATAATAATAAAAGTTTAACATATAAAAGAATAATAAAGCTAAATTAATAATAACAAATAAAAAAATCTAATAAGTAGCTTTAAAAAATTTTCAAGTAAAAGTCAATCTTTAATTAAATTAATAATAAATTAATGAAATTGAATTTAAACTAAAAATTAAAAAATTAAATTTAATTGGTTAAAATAATATTAAAAATATATTTAACTATTTTACTAATAAAAAAAATCTAAACTATAATTTTCATAAGAAAAAGAAAACCATTTTTTTTAATTCAGTAAAAAAAAAGTAAAAAAAAGATAACAACTGAATTAAATTATAAAAAAATCTATATTTATTTAAATTTATATAGCAAAAAATACTTTACAATTAAAAATTGGGCACAAAGAAATCCGTCGGCCAGTTTTTTAAAAACCAAATCTTTCATGCTCACCAAGAAAACTATACAAATAAAATTATTTAAAGGATATTATTAATTTAAATAAAATTAAAAAGTTCAGCTTAATCAAAAATTTAGAAAAAAATTGATTTAAAAAAATATTTTTTTAAATAAAAAATGAGAATTTAATTTAATTTAACTTAATTTAACTCTTGTAAAAAATTTTGAATTCCAACAAAAATTTAAGTTAACTTAACAAGGAAAAGTTGCCATCTCTTTAAAGCTCTTAAAAAATTCAAAATTAAATAAACTTAATAAGTTTAACTCAAGTGGAAAAGTTTGAGAAAAAAAATTAAAAATTATTATACAAAACTCTCTACTCTTTTAAATCTATGTGTATTGGGGATTAAATGAATTAAAAAAATTAAATTAATTTTAAAATAGAACTTTTTCTTCCTTTAAAAATGAGTGGAAAAAATAAATAAAAAGAAAAATAAATTATTAATTAAAAGGAATTTCTATTTCTTTAAAGTTGTCGTTTTAAAAAAATTATTTAAAAAAAATTAAATTAATTTAAAGGAGAACTTTCTATTCCTTTAAAACTGTTAGAAAATGAATTTGGAGGTTTGTCACTAGACCAAAGATTAAAAACTAAATCAGTTCTCTTCTCAGTTTCCGATCTCAACTTTCTCAAATCTTTAATAAGATTATATTCAATAAAAGAATTAAAAAATTAGTTTAAGTTTCAAAAAGGATATCCTAAAAATCATTAATTTTAAGAAAAAAAAATGCAAAGTTGATAAAAATTTATATAACCCAAAAGAAAATATTGAAAAAAAATTATAAAAGTTTTAGGTTACTTTTTCCTTCAAACTCGCAATATAAATTATTAAAATAATGAAATCACTATGAAAAAAGTTATTTAAATAATTTTTCTTTTTAACTTTGCGAAAACGAAACCGAAAATTTAACTAAACTTTCTAAATTAATTCAAACCTATTAAAAATAATATATAGTAATAGAAGTTTATTAAAAAATTTATTAGTTATCAAAATAATAATTATTTAAATACTGTCAGTTATAAAATTAATAAATTTTTACTACAACAAAATATTAATTATTTTTTTCAAAAAAAATAATAACAAACAACCAAGACTTTCAATGATATCATCAACTTTTATACTCACAAACACTTCAGCATCGGGAAGCTTATCGAGAAAGTCCAACCAGTTTATAAACACGAGTAACTTACGTTCGTAGCGTACATCAACTAAAAGTTGTGATAGTTAACATATCAGATTTGAAAATTTTAAATAATTAATTTCCTCTTACTTGAGTTTTCTGAATACTCCATTTGCTTACGAGGACTTATAATCCCAAATGGGCGGCTATTATACAGCGTACTAAATTTTTAAAAAATAATAAGCGTCCACAACAACTATAGTGATATCACTGCAAACCTATTCATAAATAACTTAATAAAAGAAAACTTTGGCAATAGGAGGTAAACGACGTCATAATTAATAAATAAATGAAAGTACACTAATCTACTCGGATAATAACAGATTTGTAAAAAATGGAATACAAACACCCAAGAAAAGCAAAATGCTCTCTCTCAAACTTCCCTTTCTGCTTGAGAAATTCAGTAAAAACTCTGTGCCAATGCTGGCTTCGGCCTCAAAATTATTTTTTACTAAATAGAGTAAAAAATGTTAAATCATCAATATTATAATATAGCTTTTTCTAATTACGTTATTAAGGCAAAAAAAAAATTATAGTTTCAAAATACTACTTTTTTTTTTCTTATGGATGATGTAAAATGAAATAGTAGCAATCGCTCGCTCCCTTTCTTAAAAGTTTTTTAAAAATCTGGTTGAGACCTTGGGCTAACCTTTTAAGGAAATTTACGATAATAAACTGTACAGGAAAGTTGTGCATACCAATTTTTGCATTCTGTTAGTTGTTATCCACCAATAACTATGAAAAAAGACGTCAGTTAAAAAAAAAACAAAAGAAAATGTTTATCGTGCTATACTTTTAATATTTGTTTTCATTGGTTTTAAATGATTTCTTATCAGGGTTGAAACGTAATAGGATGGGTAATAAGTTGATGTTAGTGTAAAAGAGTACATTTAATAAGTTTATAATTACTTGTGTTTGGTATTAACTCTGTGTGCGATTTGTTGATAAGAGAGAAGCTAAAAGTAAAAAATAATATATTTCTGGAAAAACTGTCTAGAAAATCAGTTTAAAAGTTTTTTGCATAGCTGTTGTTATGGAAAAAAGTGTATCTATATAGTTAACATATAAAGCAGTCAATCTATTAATGTGGAGGTAGAACCGTGGAAAAGTCATGACTTTTCTCTGGTAGTTGAGAGCAGAACTATTAGCTGGAATAAATCACTCAAAAAAGTTTAATGCTGTAACTTATTATGACGGCTTAAATATTTTTTTAAGTACAGTAGTCGGCTATGACACCAAAAAAAAAAAACAACTATATCTTGGACATTTCCTGCTAATAACCTTTTTTATTACATAAAATAGTTGCCTAGCGCTACCGTTCAAAATTTCAATGCTTAAAAGGAAATATCGGAATGGTTCACTTGTTTACCATCAAAGTTAGGTAAAAATCTAGTGTTTTTTCAGTCCTTATCTAAATTTCCTGGTAAACTTTGTTAAGAAACCATTGATAAAAGTGAAGATTATTCTGTAACATAAAAGTTAAAGTTAATAAAATAATCGACACTCTTAAGAAGAGCTAATGAAATTTAATTTAGATAATCATTTTAAACTTTCAAGTATTTATGACCAAAGAGGTAAAATATTTCTTGGGATACAAAAATAAATTTTTATTTTTATTTTTTGTTTCCCCTATAAAAAGGACGAAAGAGGAAGATAAGAATAATAGCATTTGATTCAATTAACCAAACTCTATCTTTAAAGAAAATCAGTAGTAACTTCCATATAAGATATAGGAAAGCCTGAAAGAAAAAAAAATTTTAACTGGAAGGCAACTCATTTACAATTAGCAAACCCACCTAAACCAATATTAATGTTATACTAACTTTCACATGATTAACCACATACTAATATGGAAATTTTTATTTTGTTTTTATTAACCAATAAAAAAGTAAAATTCTAAAAATTTTATATTAATATGGAAGTAAATTTTTCCCCTTTTTGGGAACTTTACATAGTAAAATTCTTTGTAGATTGACCAGTTACAGCTAATGCTATTAGTTTCCTCCAAAAAGAAAATGGTAGTGGATCCCAACTCTTCACACTCTTTGTCACTACTGGTCTAACATTGTTCAGATTTGTACGTATGTAAGACTTATTTTTCCAACAACAATACTTTTTAGGGCTCCTCTCTTCTGTGGGAAGCCCATAGTCGAGAAGGCCGGGCTGGCAGGGGTGCCCCTCCCGTGGTGGTTATTAGCAGTTCTCCACTACGCTAGATCGAATAGCGGGAGATCAGGTTCGGAATCTTCCGCTATTTCAGTCCTTTATGACGGTCATCATAGCTCTCAGAAGAGGGGATTCGGGTTAAGCGGCTTAAGGTTAAGGAGACCGGCAGCAGTATGCCAGTGTTAAAAAATACCACAACAACACTTTTTTTCCTCTTTTAAATTTATTCTGGGCGCTTGCTTAGTTTGCTAATTTTGACTTTTTTGATCTAAAAATAAGCGTATTTAAACAGTTTCAACTAACTCTGAGAACCGACAAATTGGCTTTAATATTGACAAATGAAAAACACAGTTTGAAACCGCAACACAAATTAATAATCGCGTTCACCCACATGGGAGGTGTTTAATTAGAAATTGAAAATCTAAGTGAAAAAAAAAAAGAAAACAAAATATTGATGCAAAAAAGTTGGATATTATAAATTTTTCTAAGGTAATTATCAACTATTTTTCCTCGGTTAATTTTTAACATTTTAATATTTGTGTTATAGTTAAAGTTTTGTAGCGATTAGATTGCAATTAAAAGAACCATTTTATAACATGAATAATTATAAACAAAATTAAAAAATTATAAGTAGGTTTCGTATTAGAACCAAAATATAATTATTAATAAAAAAAATCACTTTAAGCCCTTGGTAATGATGTTTTCATTGCTCTTTTTTGCCTAAGAACTAACAAGTTTACCAAAAAAATTTAGAAAACCAAATAAAAAGCTTTTCTTTTTATTATGATCATAATTACTATTAGATTAAAAACATCAATTTTGTTTACTATCTCAGAGTAAGTAGGCCAACTCGAAAAAGTTGTAGTAGGCGAAACAGCACCAAGTCGCTTCTTTTTAAAGAACTACCAGTGGTGCCGGTATCTCTCGCCTGTTAGTATACATAACTTATTTGCCCTTGCATTCAGTGGTTTTATACAACGCGCAGTGACGAATAACTATTTTTATGCACTATAAAACAGTATTCAACTGATGTTCTAATGTTTACAAACTACATAAAGAAGAGAAAACTTTTTACAGTTTGATGATTAAGCAGATGCCCGTTAAAATCGAGGGCAGACCGCTTAGTTTAACAATTTATTTATTTGAAGTTCTTAGTTAAAGTTTTTCTACTATACCTTATATTTTAAATATGATGGTTTCAAATGGGGCACTTCATCACCTTTCAGGATGTTACAAGCTATTTATGTTAGGTAATGGTTCTGCTCTTGAAAATTCTACATTTTTTTTAAACTTTAATTTGAATAAAGGGGGTTCCATATATTATAAAATAATATAATTTTATTAGCTGTGAAGGTTAAAAAATTCTTTATTTACCAAGAGAATAGTAAAATAACTTCTCCCTAATATTAATATATCAAATTATATGATATATTATTAGAAAAGAATATAAATTACTTTTATTTTTGGAACAAATAAATTTTATCTCAAAAACAAAAAAAATTTAATAAAGATGGAAGGCAATAGGAAGGCAATAGAGTTAAGAATAACCTCACCTCTTGTTTATCATTAAGTACAATAATAATTAACGAATTCAAAACTTATCTCCCCCTTAAATTGTAGTGATGCTTTATTTTTCTTTCATATCTTTACAAATGTGTTTACTTATATAAATATTTTAACTTCTTTTGATTGACTGCCCAAAATGACTCATTTTAATTTACATCGTTCTCTATTGCGTTCCGTTACAAATACTGTAATAGGCAAGGGAACCCCTTTTCTGCCACTTGTGAAAATTTTTTTTTCCGTGAGCGAGTCTGCTATTTTAGTTTGCCAAATTAATTATGGAAGCTCTAAGTTTTAATATTTTAGTTTGGTGCTATTATTTCAATCTGAGAATATAAAAAATGTGGAATTATTGTCCTAACGATGGTCGAAGATTTAAAGAGCAAGATCGCTGGTGTCCTCAGTGTTACTGTTCACGGGGAGGAGAAATAAAAGTAAATTTTCACATAAAAAGATACCGCCACTGATTTCGTAATAGCGTTCTTTAGTAAATACCTAAAGGAAAGTATTAAGTTTTAACTTGTAAAACTCAATTGTATGTTTTCTTTAGAACGAGTTTGACTGTGTGCAACCGTGGAGGAAAGTACTTTATCTCAATCAAGGATATCCCGATAATTATACTGATCCTTCTTTCTTTTTAAAAAGACTTGAAATGAATCGTATATATTTTTACCAAATTAAATTTTTGTGAGAAGTGTAATAGTACATTTGCTGTTATCTGTTTTAATGAGTAATTTATTACCATTATATAAGAGAAATAGTTATACTTTTTAATCTTTTGAAATTTCTTCAGTTCTTTTTATTACAGAAAGAGATCAATATTAATGGTAATTTTTTTAAATTTATTAAGCGAGCAAAACTCAGCATAGATTTTGGGATCTTTTTGTTTTAACGGGCGTCGTTACTCAGCGTATAAGCACGTGGGTTATTTTCTTCTGCTTCTTTACTACCTACGAAAATAATAGTTTGGACGAGTCAGTAAACTTTAAATTACTGCTTTTTGGAGGTATTTATAATAAATTTAGTCTTTCATGTAGTCAATGTTATACGAAAAGGCTTCATCTCTGGTATTTGCTATACCATCTTTCGAAGAAGTTTAATGCTTCTCGGTAATTTTATAAATCTTAATTTGTTTTTGCTACGAGTGCTTTACATAAATATTGGAAAATAAAAGATTTCCAGGGCTTTAAAAAAATAATTGTTATTGTGGTTTCGCTACTTGGTTTAAGCCCGGTGATAAAAAGTTTGGGAGATACCATTTCCACCGATTCCATCTTCGCAATGAGCGGAGGCATGTTTTTAATGGATCTATTATTCTACCCATACAGTTATCAAGCTAAGAAAATGCAAGTTTTTTTTTCGCCAATTTACTAATAAAGTTACTTATTTTTTTAAAATAATACAAATGGTAGGATGACGAGTTTGAATGAAAGCATGTTTGCAGCATTGTGTTTGGCATCCCGCTTTACATCGTTTTACCAATCCTTCACGTTTTTGCTATACGCTCTTCAAATCTTTGTCTTCTTGCCCATTCTCCTGTGGACAGTGCGGGTGCTCTAAAGAAAAATTTTCTTCCTTTTTTTTTATATATAATTTTTTTTTTATAGAAAATTTCTGCCGCGCATCACTTATTCATCTCCTTCGCTCAATTTCTTTTTGCTTATTATTGGCTCTTCGTTATATCCAAAATGTTTTCGCTAATATTTTTAATGTCGATTTTCGTGATAACATTTGTGTCACCGCTTTGGCTAATGTGGTTTGAAAACTATAAAAGGTTGTACTGAAATAAACTAACTTAAAGAAATAATTATAGTGAAGCCTTAACTTTTTCAGGGAGTTTAGGGGACCTTGGGACGTGCCAAGTGTAAGAGTGAAAGATGAAGATTGACGAATGTTGTTGTAATAGTTGGAATTTAAATTTTACCCTCATTAACAAAATAAGTACACTTGGTTTCACGGAAGAAGAATTTAATTTTTGCATTAACCCAAAAATTTTAATTTGTTAAAGGCAGACTTGATGTTTTCTTATAAAACACTTGTTTCATATAAATTGATTAAATATGAATTTAACTATAAAACTTAATAAAATCTTGAAACATTTACTCCCAACTATCTTTAAATGGATTTATAAATATTTTGGCAATAGCGAGGAGTGAATTAGTACTACTTAAGGGTTAGTATTAAGAGAACAACGTTAAACACGCTACAGAAATAGTTAATGTATGTGTAATGTATTATAAATATGGAACAGTTTGTCTAATTTGTATTTAGCTGGCCACAATAAATAATGTGTTATAGCCAGCGAAGCGCCTAGAGAAACAAAAAACAGAAAATTTGTGACTAATAATTTTAATCTCTGAATTTAAAGTAGAGATTGAGAAATGAAGTTTTATAAAACATTTTTTCCATCGTTTATTTCGCGCTCTCCGTTATCTACTGGGAACATTTTCATTTTAAAAAGTTAATATGTAAAGCCTTAAAACTAATAAATAATGTATATAACATCATGGTTATATAAAATCCCGCAAGAAGACTTTACATATGCATGTTTATTTTATTATAAATAAGAAACAAATCTTAATGCATATTTTAAAATATTTATAAAATATAGCTTTGTTACATATGTTCCTCAGTAGCTAGTATCAACTTACAATTTTATTCCTTAATTCTATAAAATAAAGGGCTTGAAATATATTTTTAAAAATTAATGTTTGTATTTAATAGAAAATATTTATCTTAGACCTGTCAGTGCCAGAATTATTTAAATTGTTTTTATGCTTTTAAAGCAGAAAAAATAGCATAAACAAGGCTTACTGAAAGACGAAAGTTAAATTGGGGGGTGGGGGGGAGGTGGGCAAAATTCACAAAATTACGATTCATAGCCCCAACAATTTCTCGATTTACGGGAGACGCTAAACTCGGTGCACTTTGCTTATTTGCTTATAGATTTATCCCACACAAACAAAAATTTTATTAAACAGCTGTGTACCTTAAATACTTTAATAAATATATGGAAATTCAAAATTTTCGGGCTCTTTATACTCACCAGAAAAATAAAAAATATAAAGTTTGGCAAGATGGCTTTGTTAAGTGGAATAAAAGTCTCTTTAGATTTTATAATTTTGTGTTTTCTTTAACTTTTTATGGATTATAATGAAATATTTGTTGCAAAAGTCTTAAATTTAAGTTAACAAACTTAGTGCTTTCAAAGATTTTTTTGTTGAACGAAAGCAATGAAAATATAGATTGTCACTTATTAAAAATGGGAGAAAAGTACTCGAAATTTACTGTTTTCTTTAACTACACTTAATTTGTGTTTGTCATGTTACATATATATTTAGCATACAGCAGGAGTTCGAAACAGAACGTTATTTAGTCTCCATCGAAGATTTTAATAATTCTGGTAAAGTCGTTTCCGCCTTGTGTACTCTTTAGTCCTCTTTAAATAGGCCACAGAGCTTGAAATTATTAATACCGAGAAGAATGTGCAACATAGTCACACTTCTAAAATTTCTAAAAGAAAACCGTTTTTTATACCTAAATCTCTGGTTTCTACGAATTATAGCTATAATACAGTTATGCCTTCAGAAGAGAGTCAGTTAAGCAAGAGACATCATCTTGAGGATCCAACAAGAGTTAGTCTTCTGCGCTTCGCAATAATTTTTTTTTTACAAAGTTTAGATTATTTTAGGAAATTATTAAATAAAATTTTCTCGCAGAAAACGAGTAACCAGAAATTACAAACACCTCGAAGTGATGCCGAAGTTCTCTCCTTGTTTGGCTATTCGAAAGGTAAATGTTTTCTATAATATATTTTTAAATCTATAAATAAAGCGTGTCGTACAGAAAAATCAACGATTACTTGCTCGTTGGATAATTCTGAAGTGATCCACAATAATAAGTTTTGCTAATTAGTTTTTAATCTTTTGCTCTTTAATAATTAATAAATCTGCTAAAGCCTCGTAGGCTTTAGCCCTCATGATCTCGCGCTTTGCTTTCCCGACAAAAATCTAATTGCTAGAGGACCTCCTCTGCCTTCTCCTTTAGCTTTGCATTTTGAGAGGTCCAATTATATTTTCAAGTGAATGTTTTGCTTAAATTTTTCTATTACTCAATTAAATAAAAATTTATAACAACTTTTATTTTTATTGTTTTTATAGGATTAATTTCTCGCTGGTGTCGTATTGAACATATTTTAATTTTTAATTTTAATTTTTATCAAAGTTTTTTTCAGTACCAGCAAACTTATTGTAACATCCTGCGTGATTACCTCAATTTTGTGACTTATAAAACTGCTCGGATTTACCACGAGGTTCCGCCCTTATCACTAATTTTGCTTTTTAAATATTTTCTTTGTGAAAGATCCTCTCAAGTGTAGATTTCTCACCATCTTTAGGAGTAGATTTAATTAATTCAGCAATCAAGTCAGAAAAGATTCCATTTTGCGAGCATGGAAAAGTTTTTTTAATTATTTATTTGCAGTCGAACAAATTTTTTTTAATTGAAATTTTGTAGACCAAATTATTTTTTGTGAAAAAAGAAGGCCCTAACAAAGGAAAAGGTTTTTTTGCTTGTAGTTCATCTAGAAGTAATTGCAATTTTTTCCAGGTTAGTTAATAATTTAGTTTCTTTCTCTTTTCTATTTATTAATAATAAATTTTCTTTTTTCTTTAAAAGTGGGAAGACGACTCTACTTACGATCTTTCGAAAAAAGTCAATTATAATTTAAAGGAAATTCACAAGGTAAGTTTTTTAAAAAGTTTACAAAGAAATTTTAAAGCGCCATTAATTTATTTTAATTTTTTTTAAACTTTAACGAAAAATAAAGTTTTTTTTCTTAATTCACTGTTTCGCTCATCACAAAAGATTTGTTTTTATATTTATATATTTCATAATAGTTAAGCGAGTTTGAACAATTTTGCATGAATAAAAAAGTGGAGTTTTATGGAAATTCTGAAGTGCAAATTTCAAAGCACGTAAGCTTTTATTACTTTTTTTCTTATTTTATTATTTAAATAATATAATATTCCAGGGCTTCTCCAGTAATTTAATCAAATTGCGTCTCTCCAGAAAACTTTCTTCCAGTAAAGCTTTTTTTACACTCTTTTTTTTCTTGGTTCATTATTTTTCTTACAATAAATTTTTGAAAAAAAAAAATCGATGATCATAGAAACTTACAGTAAGCAAGATTTGTGGGCTCTCTCTAAAGATCTGCGGTTCTCTTCCTGCTGCTTTGGGCTGAGCACCTTTTTCGGGCCAACCCTCGAGGGCGAGGTCATTCCTGTCACCTCAAACCACGTGGTTTGTTCGTCTGCTCAATGTTTTGCATGAGCAGGTGGAGCTTGCTTTACTGGGAAACTCGCCTTTTTCCAACGGAGAACCCGTGCACGCGATTCGTGTCTGCCACGCTAGTACAGAAGTGCAATGTTACGAAAACTTAAGCCGCCACATGGGGGACTCTACCACTTGTCCCATTTATGACTTTCTTTTAGGCCGGCAGACGCGTATGTGGCTCTCAGCCTGGGCTTTTTAGTGTTCCTATCTATGCTAATTTGACTCCATTTAAGAGAGCGGCACACCCACGCGGACCCTGCACATATCTGTGTCTCAAAAGTTTGAGTTGGTTGAGTCTTTTATAACTAAGTTAGGGTTTCTTTTGTTGGCAAAAAAAAATATAAAAAAATGTAAAAAAAATTCCTTATTTTTGTGAGTGTAGATATGCACTTAACAACGACCAATCATTGGCTCTGAAAAGGCTGGCAGACATGGTGTGAGCTATCCAACAATTTTGTTAGGAAAAAGCATTGTAAAATACTTTTTTTTTCCAAGATGGACAACCCCGTCTCTGTCCCTATTCTGCTTATCCACGGCGTTTTTGGGGCTGGTAATACTTTTTCTTCGTTTAGTTATTATTATTATACAGCGAAGTTAATATATATATAAATCCTAACTAAACAAAGATTTTTTTTATCGGCAGGGAAAAGTTTTCTTCTTGCAGTAATGGTACTTTTTCTAGTGGAACTGTTTGATTTGGGTCTAAATTTTTTAGTATTCTATAATTTTGGATTCATTTAGTTTATATATTTTTATTTAATCAAAATAATTCAATTTTTCTATGAACATTGTACAATACTTTTTTATTTCATATCTAATTATGCTAATATTAATTTTTATTATATATGTAATATATTTTATTTATATTATCACCGGTTATTACTAATTATTTATTATTTATATTTACACAGAATTTTTTGAATTGTGTCAGTTTTTTTATTGTAATTAGCAACCAATAAATGATTGAGAATTATTCAAACGCAACCAATTAATTAAAAGACAAGCATTTAGTGGATACTAAAATAAAATTTAGCTATTTGAATAGTTTTTTTTTCATTTTTAAAAATCGACCAATCTTTATAAAAATAATTGTTAACATACATGTTTTATATATTTTTACTTTTTTTATTTGTAGCTATAGGGAGTGATGGTTAAGGGTTAGGGTAAATATATAAAGGTCACATAGAAGACTAAGTTTTTTATGGCTTCCTCTTTTCTCTTTCTCTTGTTGTTTTAGGTTGCCTGCTGTGTACGGGCTGGTCTAGATTTTGTGTAGTGATAAACGGAATAGTTTAATAAATAATATATAATTTCTTAGTGTTAAATAATATATATTATACTTATATAAGACATTTTTTATTATTATACAGTGTCAAGCTAAAAAAAGAACTAACACATTAACCAATTAATGCTAAGCTGTATGTTAATAGTTCTCACTACTAACAAGTGAATATAAAAAGTGATGGTCCTAATTTGTATTTTATAGTGATGATAAACAGTTAATAACTTGACTTGTAATTATTAATAGTAATAATTTAATTAAATAGTATTCTCAAAAAAAACACTCAATAAACTTTTGGAATCAATATTACATGTGTAAGTAATGAAAACCAGTTTAAAAAAAAAATTTAAAATTTATAACGATTATTAATATAAATTTAGTAAATAATAGTACATTATTTTAATTATATTAACTTCAAAATAATTTTAAATGTTAATACTTATAACAGTCTATAAAAAACTAATTATTACGAAGAAATTATGTTTTTTAACGAACTCATTTCCATTTTTATTATTATTAATATAAATATAGTTAGTAAATATTAATTATTCCTTGAATTATTAAATAAATAAACAGAAAATAATTATGCATATCAATACTTTCAATAGTTCAATAAAAAACTAATTTTAAAAATGTTTCAAGTTTTTTAGTACTCCTTTTTATTATTATAAAAAGAAATTTGGTGAATAATGAAGTATTATGTTGTGTATAACCAACGAATAAAAAAAGATAAATATTATAAGTTTAATTAGTTTTTGTAATAAAATGGGAAAAACTTATTATTTCTATTTTATTTTATATTAATAAGCAAGCAATAATATTAAAAATATTTTCTTTTGTATAATATAAAAATTTATTATAAATAATAAGGGATAAACCCTTTCCAACTTTTTTTTTTATTAATAAAATAAAATAAAAGATATTAATTTTTTTTAAAATTAATTTCATTATTTTTATTGCAGAGCACCGCCCGAAGTTGTTAGGGCCTCCCTGGAAAATTATGCTGTGCTCAGCCAATAACGTGGCCGTGGACCGCATTCTTCTATCACTACTGGCACTGGACTTTGATGGCTTTGTGCGGGTAGGGAGCATGCGGAAGATTGCTAAGCGAATTCTCCCACTCAGCTTGCACACTTCCTCGCAGGACATTGCTGATTTGAAAGCCATGCTAAAGGACGGTTAGCCCCTTCTTATTGGTTTTTATTATGTGTTCCTGGTCACCATTGACCGTTGATTACTAGACTCGCTTTCCCGGGAAGATCGGGAATATGTCCGGCAAACTCTACAAAAAGTACAGAAAAAAGAAAATGAACAAAAAGTCTTGAAGGTGCGCGTGGTGGGAGTCACGTGTCTGGCTAGCTGCTTTCCCTGTTTAAATGGTTTTTCTTTTCCGGTTGGCTTTGCACTTTATTACAATTTTTTAATGACAAAAATTTTAATGGTCCTTTTTGTTGGATAGATTATAATTCTCGACGAATGTAGCCAAATCACCGAGCCGCTCTCCTGCTTGTCCATAGCCCGTTTCCATTGCAACAAACTGGTTGCTCCTCTCTGTTTCTTTTGAGCCGTGATTGTTTGTGTCGTGGTTATCCTTAGATTTTAGTGGGCGATCCGAAGCAGCTTCCGCCCACCATTACGGCAGTCGATCACGCGAGCAGTTTTAAAAGTTTTTTTTTATTATATAATTTTTTTTAAGCGATATAATATTTCAATTTTCTTGTAAATTTACTTTTTAGTGAGTATTTGTTTTTTTAATCTCTTAACGCCAAGTGTTACAATTTTTTTCTATAATTTTTTAATTAAAGTAAATTTTTTTATTAAAATGTTTTAAAATGTTATAAAATTAATAAAATTTTATTATGATAAAAAATTTTAGTTTTAAAATATTTATAATAATTTTATATTTCATATTTATCTTTTAACAAATTTAATTAATAAAATATTTTATTAATTAAACTTAAATAGTTTTCAACATTCATTTATTATTTTGTAAATAATAATTTTTGGTATTTTTCATTTAAACTTCCCAATTATAATTTTTTTTATTTATTGCCTTCAATATAAATTTTTTTTCTATAACTCTTCAGACTTTTTATGTTATTATAACACATTTTTTTACTTGTTGCCTGTAATAAAATTTATTTTTAATACTTTTTTTTATACTTAAAATAAAAATATATATATAGTTCAGAAAATATATTAATTCCAAAATTTATTTTATTTATATATTAATATCTAGTAGTAAATTTAAACTTTTTTTATAATATCTATAAATTTTGTTATATAATTTTGAAATCCTTTTAGTTTTCTACTAAAATTTTTACTTTTTTACTTTTGTGAAAACTTTTAAATTTTATTTATAATTATCTCTATTAACATTTAATATTGTAAACAGTCTTATAGATTTTACATTAATAGGAATATAAGTTGCATTAAAAAAATTATTATAATTTTATTGTAAAGTTAATTTTTTATTTATACTTTAATAATTTATTTGATATAAAAAAAAAAATTTTGATTTTTATAATAAAAACACTATAAACCATTTATTTTACTGTAAATTTCTTTTTTTTATTTAAACGTTATAATTTATTTAATATTATTAAACAATTAAGATTTATATAACAAGCTTGAAATAACGTATAAATAATTATTTTAATTTCATTATAAAGTTAATTGTTTATTTAAACTTTTATAATTTTATTTAATAATTTCCAAAAATTAAGTTTATATTATAAATTTTAAGTAACATTTAAAAAATTATTATAAATTTTATTTAAACTTTTTAAAATTTATTTAATATCTTTAAAGCAATTAAGATTTTTTTGATAAAAATTTAAATAATACAAAGATTTATTTTAACTTTTATATAAACTTCTAAAATTTACTTAATATTTTTAAAACAATTAAGTTTTATATTGATAATTGATAACTATTTTTTTCCTATTTTCATGATTAGTAATATAAAAATTAATTTAACTGAATTAGAAATTTTTTGAAGATATTTTTAGCATTAGGCAAACCTATAATTATATGCTTTAAGATTTTTTATAGTAAACTATTAATAAATATATTTATTAAGTTTATATCAAATACTAAAGCTTTATAAAATTAATAATATTCTTTAAAAGGCTTTTACTAAATTTTTTTTTATTAAAATATAAACAAATAATTTTTATAATTACATAGATTTCACTTTTTCACTTTTTAATAGAATTAATTTATTCACTCGTTATATATAATTCTACTAATTTTTTTATAAATTTGTTTAATAAATATATATTTTTTTAAAATTATATAATAAAATTTTTTTATTAAAATATATAATATATAATTTTTTTTATAATTTAAATCTATAACTTTTTAGTGTAATATTATTTTTATTGTATAATTTATTAACTTTCTACTTTTATTTAGGTAGTATTTATTTTTAGATTTTTATATAAAAAGTTTAAGTTAATAGTGATTTACAAATTTTTTATGTATTATATTAATTTTATTTTAAAATATTTTTATTATAACTTTAAAAATATTCAAAATATAAAAAATTCAGAAAATATTTTTATATTTTTTAAACTTAATTAAATTATACTTTTATTTAAGCAGATTAAGTTTTTTTAATTACTTTTAAAAATTCATTATTTTTATAAATAAATTATATTGTTTTAATTAAAATTTTTTTCGAGATCTGGAATTCACACTTTTTGAACGCCTTTTAGCATGTGGCTACGAGAAGATTTTTCTAAAAACGCAGTACAGGTCTGCTCTTTATGGCTTCTTTACCGACTTAATAATAATAATTTTCTGATTTTTATATTAAGTTTTTCCTGTTTTAATTCATAAATTCATTAAATTCTTACTACTTTCATTATAATTTTTGTTATTTTAATTTATTTATTAATTACTAGAACGTATTTTAATTTTTATATTCATATTTTATTAATATTAAAACGTGAATAAACCAGCGGCTGTTTTTTTTTGTTTATAACTGGATGATTTTCTGGCGCCAACAGTAACCACAAGAAATAATGAATCCTCCATTTCTTTCTATTTTCATTTGATTTACATGTTTTTTATTTCATTTTTTTAATTTATTAATTTTATACATTATATAAAGACTGTAAATTATATTATTTTTCCTACTAACTTTTTACTATTTGCCGATTTCCTTTCTGTAATTTTTCTGGTCTAAATATTTTACTGTGCACACTTAGTTTTTATTACAACTTTTTGAATTATTTAAGTTGTATTTAAGCATTTTGAAGTTTTTTAAGGTTATATAATTTTTGCTATTTTCATTATAGTTTTTTTTTAAACTATTCTTTTTTGAAATCTTAATGTTATTGCTTACTTTTTTCTTATTTTTTGACTATGATAACAATTTTATAATAATTATGTATTCTTTTTTTTATGTGGTCATCAATTTTATATTTATTTACTCAGTTTACAACAAAAAATTTATTAAGAGTTTTTTTTGTTATTTTAAAACAAAAGTTTACTTTTTAATTTTTACTTTTCATAAATTTTATTATTTTTAATTCCCTAAAAGATTTTTACCCGTGAATAAATTATTTCGATATTGTCCAGGTGTCATCCTGAAATTTCTCGTCTCGCCAGCGATCTTTTTTACGACTCGCAAGTGGTGAGCGGGATTAGCAGTGCGGAAAGAGTTCCTTTACTCGAGGAACTTCCTTGTTTGCTGTTTGTGGACGTCGAAGCCAAGTCTCTAATTTTTTTTAAGTTGTATTTTTTTATTTTATTTTCTAACTTTTTATTATTTTTAAAATTTTTTTACGAGCTTATAAAAAACTACTCAGCACAAGAAAATCTCAGTAAAATGTAAATTTTAGATATATTTAAATTTTAATACTGAACTAAAAAAAATTAATTAATTTCTTAAATTTAATAAATAATTAAAAAGAAGTTAAAAAATATCTAAAATTATTGACGTAATCTAAAAAGTTATCAAGTTTTTTATAAAATTATATAAAATTATTTTTTTCTCAAATATTTTTCTAAATAAAATTTTACTTCTAGTAATTATTAATATTTAATTAATATTTTTTGTTAAAATTTTTTATGAACATTTAAAAATTATGATACAGTAAATTTTTTATATGCAAAGAACAATAAATTATTTTGATTTGTTAGTCAGGAAATTCGAGATCCAACTGGAAGTTATAAAAACCTTAAAGAGGCTCACGTCATTAGTGAAGCCCTCAAGCGGTTTTTTTTTTGCTTCCGCTTTTTTTTTAAGAAAATAATTTATAATCAATTATTAAAATTATTTATTATAGTTTGGTTGTCTTTGGGCTCTCCACTGCTGAGATCGGCGTTATTTCTCTCTATAAAAGCCAGTCTCGCTGGTAATCTGGATTTACTCATTTTTTATATAAAAATGAGAAATTTGGATCTTTTTACTTTTAATGTTAAACAAATTTGTAATTAATTTTTATTTTAAATAAATTTTTGAGGTATTATTAAATATGTAAATCTGGTAATAAATTAAGAATTTTTTAATTCTGGTTTTATAAATTTTTTATTAGTTTTTTGATTATATTAGTTTTGAAGATTTATAATTACTTTTTAAAAAAAAAATTTAATAATTTTTTTTGGTTATTAAATTTGCAATTTTGTTTTAAAGATTTCTGTTTGCTTTTTTAAAATTCTTATATAAATTTTTTTAAAAATTATTAATTTTTTAATTCTGATTTAGTAAAATTTTTTTTGGTTATTTGATTTAAATGTTAAATAATTCAAAAGCAGTTTTTAATATAATTTTACTACAAAACTTCGAAGATTTTTTTTTTTTTAATAGCTTTTATACTTTTTTTCTTCAAAATTGTTTATGTCATTAATAAGTCTATTAAAGATATTAAAAAATATAAATTTATTTTTATTCAATAATTTATATTTTTACTATTAATTTACTAAAAAAAACTGCTCTATTATGTATAACAGAATTATTATTACAAACTTTTGATCAATTAAAAAAGTATAATTATTATTAATATAAATTTTTTACATTTACTTGATGCTACTTTTTTCTTTCATTGTTTTTTATGTGAATTCTAATAAGCATTCAAGAAATTTACGGTGAATCTTGCCAGCAGCCCGTCATGATCTCCACTGTCGATGCGTTTCAAGGTAATTCGCATTCTAACTTTAATATTTTTATTTTTACTAAAGATTTTTTTTTTTGGCGAGGCGGCGAAAGAGAAGTGATTTTACTTTCTACCGTGCGGATCTCTTCGGATTATACTTTTCTGGAAAATGAAAGACGAGTGAACGTGGCCTTAACCAGAGCAAAGCGGTCCGCTAGCAAACTAAATTTATTTTTATTTTTTTTTAAAAAAAATTTATAATAAAATTTGTAATACAATTTTTTAATAGACATCTTCTCATTTTCGGATCTCTTAAACATTTACAGAAAAATAAATTGTGGGCTAAAATAATAAATTACTGCGAAAGTAATTTTTTTTTTAAAATATTTATATTGTATTGGATTTTGTAGACTGAATAGTCATTTAAAATGAGTATAACTATTACTAGCGCCCATGGCGCTGCGGACTATATTCTAAATTTATTTTATATAAAAATTTATAACTTCCATTTTTTTTTTTTTAGAAAAAAAATTTGTTCGGAAAAGTGATTTCCTTTTCAAAACTGCCGAAGCTGAAAGTTCAGCTGATTTATGAAAAACCAATTTGCCATTAATTATAATTCGTTTTTTTAAAAAGAAAATTATTTTTTTTAATCACATAAGCGAGCAGAAAGTTCCGAATTTATAAACAAACGTAGAAATTTTTTTTATTTTTATAAAACCATCATTATTTTAATTGGCTATTCTGCTGTATTTAGCTTAAAAGCTCGGTAATCCTCGTATAAATCGTTGGTGCGTTCCTTGAGATCGTGCAATCCGTGGCGGACCAAAATGTTGCGCACCTGAAAGATTTCATAATAATTATAATTTAGAAAAATGCTGATCAGAAAAAAAAGTGCTCAACAGTATTAAAATCGCAGTGTTCGTCATTTTCAATTTCCACGGCTCCCCACGTGTATTGCCGACCGTAAACCTTTAATAAATTTTTACGTTTACGCATTTAAGTAAAATGTCACGCACAAAAAAAATTAAAAAGAAATTAAAAAAAATTCGCTTTGACTGTTATTATTCATATTATATAAAAAATAATTTCAATCAATCATTTTTTAATTTTACTACAATAACATCTTTACATCACACGATTTGGCTGATTTGCTTCATAACAATTTAAAATTAATAATTATCCGTATAACCTCTTTCCCGCCCACGCGGATCTTTGAATTACTACTGACGACAGCGTACGGCATCGGTACATTAGCGGAAGTGGTGCTTACGTCATCATCATCGCTGTCAACTATATAAGTTTTTTTTTCCAACGCAGAATAAGGTAAAACGATTAGCAATTATAAAAAAATTTTAATAGAAAAATAACGAAAATAAAATATTACTACTGAAATTAAAAATTAATAACTTAATTAATTAATTAAATTAAGTTATATTTATACTCAAAAAGAATAGCTACGTTACCAAAGCTTACAAGGCATATTAATATAAATTAACAAAAAGTATATTATAAAATATTTTAACAAATTAGAAATAAATCCGAATAGTTAAAAAAAACTTCGAAAGTTTAAAATTTTAAGTTAAATATATAGAAAATTTTAATTTATAAATTTAAAAGTTTTATATAGAAAAATAGCAACTTTACTAAAACGAATCAATCCAATTCAAGTCAATTTTTACATAAATATAGTAAAAAATAATCATGCGTTGTATTTGAATTTTATAAAATAAAATTTTAAAAAAAATATAATAATAATTAAAGATGGTAAATTTAAACAAAAAAGTAGGGACTTTACTAAATCATACAAAGCAGATTTTAATATAATTAAAAAGCAGTTATAAATATAAATAATTAAAATTATTAAACAATTAAAAATAAATTGTATTAACTAAAAATTAAGAATAACAATTTAAACCAAAAAATTGCAACTTTACTAAATCGTAAAAGCATATCTTTATATAAAAAACATTTTGAAAAACATTTAAAAGTATATTGATATAATGAAATTACAAAAAGGAACTAAAAGTATTTTTGTTAAAATTAAAGGGCAACTTAAATGATTAATTTAAATAATCCTTTTCAAAGTTAATTTATGCAAAAAAGTATAGCCACTTAACTAAATCTTTCATGGCATTTTTTATTAAAAAATAACTAAAAAAAATTATATTTAATAGAATGTATATAAGATAATTAAAGATAAAATTAAAAAAAAAGAAATACAAAGCATAAATTAATATAAATAAAAAACTACAATAAAATTTTTTGAATATAAATTTATAATACAAAAAAAGAGAAAATGATATATATTATCTAATAAAATAATAAAATTAAATTTCGAATTTATAAAAAATTAACGTTTTCAAAAAAGGAAAATTTTTATTTATAAATATTAAAACTAGTTTAAACAAAAATGATTAGCGATTTTACTAAATCTCACAAGACAAATTTTAATAGCATTAAAATGAAAATCTTTTATAAAATATAATAAAATGAAATTAAATAAAAATTATAAAAATTTTTAAATATAAAAAATTAAAAATTAGAATTTTAAATATAAATTTGAATAGCAAGTTTACTATAACTTACAAGGCATTGAGTAAATCTTTATGTTGTGCTTAAAAATGTCCTCCATCACTTTGTGCTTCAGAGCGCCTATTTCGGATTTCGTTAAGGTATCCGCCTTGGCAATAAGCGGTATAATATTAACTAGATTGTGGAGCTTTTTGAGAGCTGTAGTTATTAATTGAAATATAAATTATTTTTATTTAAAAAAACCTAAAAAAGATTAAAAAAAAATTAATAAATAAATACGTTGAAATAATAACTTAAAAAAGGGATTTAAAGAATAATTTAAAACATTTACGATAAATTGATACAAAACTGAAAAAAGGATTAAATTTAGTTTTAAAAAATATTTACGTTCCATAAAATATAGAATACTAAAAAAAGAAAAAATAAATAATCACGGTAATTAACAGACTAAAAAAGGGTATAAAAATTTTTTTTCGTTATTTTGTTTAGATTTCAAAATAAAAGGATTTAAAAAAGATTTTGTTAATTTATATATAGTCCAAAAAAAAAATTTTAAAAAAACTGAAGTAAAATTAATTAAGGCAAAGTTAAAAAAAGAAAAGAAAAGATATTACTTTATTGATGAAATTATAATCTACTAAAAAACATAAGGTAGTAGTTATTTCATATTTTTGTGTAATAGTGAGCCACGCACAAGAAATAATAATTAATATTTAAAATTACACAAAATAATAACGATGATAAATAATATATCATACAAAAACTGAGTCACACCCAAGAAATAATAATAATAAATAATAAAATAATAATAGTTACTGAGCCACGCATTCGAAATAATAAAATATGACAGTGAAATAAAAGAAGCACGCACATGAAAAGGTATTATTCGACTATAACCTGTAACGTCTAAAGGACGCAAGCCGTTGGAGTTTGGAGATATGAAGTAGCAAAGAGCATCAACGCGATTGTCTACGATTTTCGATCGCTTTACCTTCCCTTCTTGCTCGAGATACTCGTCTAGTTTTCTTACAATATATTCATAAGCCGGTGACCAAGTGTTCGTGTTGTCCACAGCATCTTTTTTATTATAAAAATAGAATTATACGTTTTTGTAGATGTTTGAAGGTATTAAGTATAAAACAATTTTTTTAAAAAAAAAGTACTAGATTATGGCAATAACTAGTAAAAAGCTACAATTTTTCTGTAGATGAGGATCATATTTATACCACCAAATTACCTGCAAATCCCACAATATCTAATATCGTAAGTTTCAGCTTTACTTGTTGATCCAGAAGTTCTCGCTCGACTACGCGAATAGATGAATTGGGTTCCATCCTTTGCTCTTTTAAGCCAGTCTTAAAAATTTTAAATCTAGGCAAGAAGCGATAAACAAAATAAATAACCAGCCGTCTTATATTCTTTATCCTCTCCAAAGTTTTGTTGAAAAAGTGAGTTTACAAAAGTTGTCTTACCTAACCCGGCCTCGCCCATAATCTATAGTGAATAAATTGTATAGATAACGCAATTCTCTTAAATTCATCTTACCATTAAAGAAAACTCAAATCCTTTTTTTACAGACTTTCTATGAATCTGAGCAGGAAGATTAGCAAACCCAAGGTTCGACATTTTTACTCAGACAAGTTACACTTCTAAACTTTTTGAATAAGCAATCGAACTTTTCCGAATCACGAAAACTAATTTAAAACAAATTTAGCGCTAATCATCCCGCTGGCAGCCAATAAATCCCAAGTATTGACCAATTACTATTCGATGGGCGAACTAAAAAAAAAGATCGGCAAAAAGTTTCGTTAAATGAAAATTAACTAGTTTTCATTGTTACTTTTACTACAAAATAGTCTTTATTAGTTACTTTAGTTTTTAGTTTACAGCATAAAAAGAAGTGGTTAGTTTTTGATTATTATTAACAATAATTATTTTTATGCCCTCAACAAGCTTTATCGGAAGTATTTTAATATTAAACTTACATCGTCGCACAATTTATGTTATTAACCTCGTTAGTGGTACAACTCTAATTAGAATTTTTTTTTGTTTTAAAATCGTTTTGTTATAACAAAGGACGGCTTTATATTTTTATGTACATAACTTTATTTAAATCTTAAAGCCATCAATATTTACAAAAATCTTTCTAAATTACCCCCCCCTAGCTATTAATGATACATATAATAAAGGCGCATACTTTATTAAGAGATTTGTTTATTTCAGAGTTGCTAATAAGATAATTACTATTTGTAAAGAACGGTATGGCATACTGGTGGTTGTAGAGGGATCACCAGCTTATATATGTAGCACTAGTATCCAGTACTATAATATCGATACTATTACGTGCCGCTCCGCACTAGCAGCGGATACAAGAGACAAAGACACAAGACAGTACCAAAGTCTAGAAGACCCAATCTTTAATGGTTTTGATGGTAGTATATTAGATTTAAACTTTTTACAATTTACAAGAAGTTAGTTATTATGTTTAACCTAGCTTTAAGCTTGTAACAGTAATGAAACAAACATAATATATTTAAAGACCTTCCTAACTTTTTAGCTTCAAAAAAACAATTGTTTGATTGAACGTGCTTTAAGTATTCAATACGCGTTAAGCAAGGTGGAAATTGAGTTATGAATATATTATTTCAAACCTACAAAATATAAAGAAACAATATTTAAGTTTAAAAAAATGAAATAAATAAGTAAACTTTAAATTTAAACAATTCACTTTACTATACCCTCCAATTATTAATTTTAAATTGGTTTACAATCTTACATTATTTTTTTCTAACGCAAAATATATATAATATATACTTAACGCATAAAAATTATTGATTAAATAGATGAACCACTACAACTTTTAGCGTATAAAAGAAATCTTTCCTACTGCTAAAATTATAAAAATTATATTTTAAGTTCTTTACGACTTGGTATAGAACAATAAATTAAACAAACGCACGTTTGGTAATGGCTTACCCGTAAACATATTTAATTTATTTGAGCTTAAATTAGTTTAACCAATATTTTTATACACAGACTTTTTTTTTAGAAATTAGTCAAAGTAAATCTTAAACAAAAGAAATATCGTAATACTTGCCAAAGGCATAAAAACTTTGTAGTCACTTTAAAAAAACTGTTAACTTTTGAAGAGTCGGTGGAAAGTTTAACAACTATGGCACTAAAAATAGGGTATCTTAAAAGTTTTTCTCTATTGATAAAAAGTGTTTTAGGTAAGCTAATACTTCATAAATAAATCGTAATATGAATAATTTTATAATTGTCCCCGGTACACTTAAATAAACCATCTCACTCGTGAACGTTTCGAAAAGTGAAAGTCTTAATAAAAGAGAGTTAAATAAACTATAAATTTATCAATTAGAATAAATTATTCAGATTATCAACATAATAGAGTAACAAAAAGAAGAGTAGGAAAGCATATCAGCGGAAAGAAAAAAGGCGAAAGTCGTGGATTCTCAAAATTTTGCCGTATAAATTTTTTTTTTACAATATACTATAAATTGACGCAAAGTAAACTAAACATTTTTAAGGAAAAATAAATTTACGTTAACAGAAACAAATTTAGAGAATAAACTTAACGCTTCAACCATCTTTTTTGTTTTAAAAAATATTTTTACTCAACTATTAAGTGGTTCGTACATAAACAATTATAGAATTTATACTTTTTTTTACGAAACAACGTACAATAAAGAGTAAAAAATATTATAAAATTTATATAATTATGTACTTCAATATTAATAAAGATATGAAAATAAGTTTCCTTAACAGTTGTGAGGTAAACATGAAATTTTTCAAGGAAAAAAAATAAAAATTAAAAATTAAATGAAGTTATAATCCTAAATATTTTATAGATATTTTAGTTAAACATTTTTTAATAGCCTATAATATTTGGAGTTTTTATTTAACTTTTACTTTTTTTCAAAACATTTCAATGAAATTCTCTGCTTCTCCATTTTCTTATTAACTTCGTGGACGAAAATAAAAAAATATATATTGGATTGTAAAAAAGCAATATAAATCTACAACAAAAAAAGTTTCCAAATAAGTAGAACTCTTTTAAAAAAAAAGTAAAAAATTAAAAAATAGATTTGTTTGAGATTTATCCCACTTTATTGCATTTTCTTTAGAGATGGTCAAGTAATAATTTATAGTATAATTGATCGTACAAAGTAAAGATTTGCACTTTTTAATGATAATAATAAATAATATAAATCTTTTATAGAAATTATTTTCCAAACATGTAAAATTCTTTAAAAATTGAAGCAAAAAATTAAAGTAAATTTATACAAATTTAATACAGCTATAGTAACATTTTATAATAATAATAATATAGATAGATATCTGTTAAAAAAAATTCCCTTAAGTAAATCTCAAAATAAAAGTAAAAATTATATATATTGATTTATTTAAATTTTATGCTGCCTTATTGCGTTTTCTCAAAAGAGAATCGCTACTACTACTTTTACAGGCGTCAGAATGTTTCTCAGATTCAACTTTTTCGTTGATTTTTTTCTTATTAGAGAGCCCAAGATCTTCTCCTACACAATATTAATTTAAAAATTAAAAATTAAAAAAATAAATCCAAGCATAATAATAGTATAAAACGAAGATCTTATTATTTTAAAAATTATTATTGTTGACGAAACTTTTTGATTGGGTCTTATTAAAATAATAATGAAATGCGTCATTTTACTGGCTAGAATTAGTAAACTCGAATTTTAGTGGTTACTATTGATATAACTATTATTCTATTAAAAAGTTTCTAACGTTACCAACTATGATATTTTATTAAAAAATATATAATACGTCTAAAGTTATATAATAAAACTTAACCAAATATTAGTTATTATTATAAAATATTATTTATACATAAAAAGTGAAAAATGTAGTATAATTAATAATTATAGTTATAGTTGGAGATTATTATTTAAAAGATACTATAAATATAAATAAATCTATGGCGAAGAAGAAAGGTTAGTAACAATAAAAATATTTTATAGAAACTTTTTTTTATATTGAAAAATTTATATATATTTTAGCGGTTTTAAAAAAAATTTTTAAGAAAATTTATTGAAGTCATTTCAAATATTTATATAATATATATTTAAAAAAAGTATTATGAAAAAGGTCACTATAAATTTATCATCACCTTTTTAATTACTCAATAAGTAAAATAAATTAGTTTAATAATAAAAAAATATTAACATAAATTTCTACTACAATTTTAATAAATTTTCATAAAAATATAATCAAAAAATAAAATTTCAAAACTTCATCTTAAAAAAATGTTAAATCCAAATAACCCTAAAAAGTTTATTATTTTTAATAAAATTTTATACATAAGTTTTTATCACAAATTTATAAATTTATTTTACGAAAAAAACTCAAAATCAAAATTTTTTAAAGAAGAATTTATATTAAAAAAAAATTACAAATTATTTTATTTAATATTATTACCGGAAACGCCAAACTCGTTTATGCGGGAGTGGTCGACTGGGTATATCCATAACTGATACAAAAAGCAGAAGAAAACAATGTCATCGCGGAAGCAAGCCAGTCGGTGCATCATCGGCATTTTTATGATAAACGCAAAAACTATTGAAATTTTTTTCATAAAAAAACTTGTATTAAGTGAATAAGCAAAAAAAAAGTAGTGAAAATAGATCGCTGGCTTTTTTTTATAACAAACATGATACTAATGAAATTAAATTTTCATAAGAAATTGGTATCAAGTTAAACAAGAAAAAAGGGTAACGAAATAAATAGTTGGCTTTCTTATAATAGACAGGAAAAATAATGAAATTAATATTCATAAAAAATTTTGTATAGTGAATTAGCAAAAAAAGTTGTGAAAATAAATCGTTGGCATTTTTATAATAAACGCAAAAACTAATTGTATCTTTTTAATAAGTTTTGTATCACTTAAATAAGCAAATAAGTAGATTTAATATTTTTATAATAAACATGAAAAATAATGAAATTAATTTTCATAAAAGATTTTGTATAAAGTGAATAAGCAAAATAGCAGTGAAAATAAATTCGCTATCATTTATATAATAAACTTTTATAACTAATATTGGACTCTTATAATAAATCTTGTATCACTTTAATAAGCAAAGAGTAACAATAATTAATTTGCATTAAAAATTGGTATAGCAAAAAGAATAACGAATATAAATTAGCATTTTGATAACAAATGAAAAACTAATTTAAATTTATTATTTCAATATTAAAGGTAACAACAAGGAATTTAAATAAATTTGTTTATAATAAGGTAATGCGCAAGGGCAGTGCACAAGTGATTACATAAGTCGGGCTCGCGCACGTGCTGCAGGTATTTTTTTTTTCTGTTTGTTGTGCGGTGGGATTTATGATAATCAAATAAATTTAATTCGACTTACCTATATTATATCACTTTATTGTCTATAATATACTTTATATTACCTATGTTATACTACTTTACTTCCTATTATATACAAGTTTTCGAAACCTAGTGAAATCAACTTAAAAAAAAATAAAATATCATCTTTTTATAACAAACGCAAAATCGGGAATATTGTATTTTTCTCAGATTTACTTATAAAATACATTTTATAACTTTCTTACTATAAAAAAAATTATAATTATAAAATTTGTGTAAAAATTTATTTTTATTAATAAAAAAAGCATTCTTCTTTTTGTAAAGTAATGAAAGTTTTAAAAAATATATAATATTCATAATAAAAAGTTGATTAAATATATGTAAATTCTTCAAGTAATTTAAAGAGAAATAAAAAATCTAATTCATATTAAATTTATTAATATTACTAATTAATTTCTTTTAAGTTCTCTTTTTTTTTAAAAAAAATTTAGAAGTCCTATAAATAATTTTATTATTTGAAAATTATATTTGTCAATTACATAAAAATAATATTGAAAATAATTAATACAATTTGCTTAAATAAATCAATATTTTATAAGAACTTATAAATGATATATAACTTTCAAATATATTAAAAGGCTCGCAGTCGCCTGTAAAAATATTTAGAAGGGAATATAATTAAAGTTTTATATAATTTCTAACAAAATTATTTAATAAAAAATTTCTTTTAATAAAAAAAGAAAAAAAAAATCAATTCATTAATGAAGATATTATAAAGTTAATAAAAATTTATATAACAGAAAACGCATATAGTCTATAAAAGTAGTAAAAATTTGAATAAATTTTATACAATAAGCAATATTATTCAAATTTATAACACAAAAATAAATCTAAATTACTTAAAAATACAACAAAAAAAAATGTAAATATATTTATTTTTGAACAAGTTATAATAATAATTTTCCTATAACAGTTGTCATTAAAATTAGTAAAAATTTTATTGAAATGCAAACATATAAATTAAAAAAATTAAAAAAAAAATTTTAAAATTAATAATTTAATGAAATATAATAAAAAACTAAATTTAATAATAAAATTAAAAAGTTGATATTATTTATAAATAACTTCAACAAAAATAAAGAAACTAAAAAGTTTTTATTAATAGTGGTTTGAAGATTTATACAGTTAATTTAGTACAAAATAATGCATTTTTAAAAAAAAATTAAATTTTTTAAATATTTTTGTAGTAAAAGTATAAATGGTCAGCTTTATTAGTAAAAATTAGTAATTATACATATATTAAAAAAATAATATAATTTGTTAATATAAATCTTTTATTAATAAAAAATTACCAGCTAAGTAATAGTTTTACTAAAAAATGATAAAAATATAAAATTTTAAAATTTACTTTAGATTTAATATAATCTGATAATGAACTGATTCCAATCTAAATAGCCATTATTATAAACGTATAATATTCATATAATCCAAAAAAAAGTATTGGAATTCTCAATCCAACTCTTATATTTGGTTCTCTCAGGACTGTTAAGGACCAATTTGGCGCCTTTTTTCGCCCAATCTTTTATGCGACTGTGAAAGGAATTTCTATTCCTTGCGCTTTTTTTTTTGTCCTTTTTTCTTTTAAAAAAAAAAACTCACCGTCGTCTATAAAAGTATTAAAAGCTTTATAAGTAAGCGCTCGCCACGGCAGGTGCGCCACCGATTTCATTCGGTAATTGATGAACAATTGAGGAAGCATTAATATAAACCCAAACAGATAAATATAGCCAGTCAGCGTTGAGAGGATCCACGAGTACCTACCACAAGTAAGAAAAACGGATCATAAAGGGCCCAATCTTAATTTATAGGCAGTTATTAAAACTGATATATAATAAATTGTAAAGTAAAGTTGTTATAGGTACTATGTATTTGATAATAATAAAAACAAAAAAAAAGAGAAAAAAATTCTTGAAATAAGTAAAAAAAAATTATAGATATATATTAATAATAATAAAAGTATAAAAAAACAATTATAGAAAACTCTCTTATCCTTTACATTCCGCAGTAAAAAGTATAAATAAGCTATTAAGATAAAAAGTAAATGTTAAATCAATTCGGTTGAAACTTAGTAAGTCATTAATAAAAATTATCGGTGCTTTTCGCACCAAACAAAAAAAATAAAAGAAAAAAAAGTTCCCCGATGGAAAATAAGTGCAAATTAGTAGTTTATTTAGGTACCATCCGCGGTGCTCGTCAAACCAGAGAGAGTAAAGAGCGTAGCCGGACATAAGCGGCAGCAAAGCTTTCATCATCCAACTAACATATAACAAATATAACAAAACAACATCTGTGTAAATCTAGATATTTCATTAATCGCAAAGCCGTGACTCATCGTTTAAAAAACAATGATTGGCTCACCCAGTGGCTTTGGCGTCTGCAACTTCAGTATCTTCTTCCTCAGCAGTAACTTCGCCCAAAGAAATTGAAAACGGAAAAATAGAGATGGTCAGGCGCAACGCTTTTTTTAGTTTCCATAAATTGATTAGTGATTGAATGCCGACCTAAATTAATTTAAGTAAAAAAACGTGATTTAGAAAGATTTATAAAACGCATACTGGAATCACTACTAGTTTGCTGGCATCGTTATCCAGTAAATAGAGAAAAACAATAACTTCAGTGACTAAAAGTGCAATAGAAGAAAAAATAAATAACATTTTTAATAAAAATTAATGCAGAATGCAGAAAAATAAAAAGCCTGCTTCAAGAAGCACAGCACGAGAGGAAATGCCTCGCAGGTTTTTTCTTTTTTTCCTTTTTATAATAAATTTAAATAACAAAACAAAACGAAGAAACCAATGCACCAGTAAACCACGTCGTTTTTGAAGGCCAAAAAATCAAAAAGCAAATGGACGAGGGAGACAAAAAGAGTAAGAAATAAGACCGCTGGATTGTAACGAGTAAACAAATCGCCGATCTACTTTTTATATATATAGTATAATTAGTATAGGATACTTAAATTTTTTAACTTGGAAGAGGAAATTTTAAAAGCAAGAACTAGGATATTTACTGGAAAATTTTAATTTATAAAATAATTAAAGATTCCGTGTCAATAATTTGATTTTTGTACGCACAACCTCTTTCTACTTATATAAATATTATTAAAACAAGTAGAGCTTTTTAACTAATTTAATTATTTTCTAAGTTCCTCTATCCATTTAAAATTTATTACCTTTTTGAAAAAACTATACGTTTACTTTCATATTAACTAAAATTTTTCACCTTATATATTACTACTAAACTCTTCTATAAATAGTTATTTTTTTCTTTTCAATATATGAGATGTTAATTTTAATCGTACAGCTTCAATATCTAATTCAGAAAATCCGTGCTGCTCGAGTAATTTAAATCCGGCCTGAAGCTCGTTCATAATGCGAAATCGCCCTGAAAAAAATTACAATTTCAAATTGTGTGGCGGAGAGAAAGGTAGAGTGGAAGATGGCGGCCTCCAGCGGTTACCCAAACTGATCGGCGACCACTGAAAAAGAAGAGAAAAGGCTGTAGTTGGTTTGGCCGGATCAGAAAATTGAGAAAAAGGTATGTAGTTTTTTCGGGAAATTAACATCATATTGTTATAAATGATCGGGAGGTAATTCCGTTTATTCAAGGAGACTCTTAAAAAAAGTAAAAGGGAAATTTAATTATGAGGTTCAACGAAATCTAAAAAGAAGTTACTTTAAATGCATCGAAATGTCGTAAGGAATTTCATCTTGTGGAAAAATAGTTTGATCTACTACAAGTCGCAAGTCTACAGAACTGGATAAAATATATTTCAACTTTTAAAAAGTGGCCGTTAAAAAAAAAACTAGTGAGAGGTAAGTCACCGTGCGATGTGCCACTGAGGCTGCAAAGAGGAATCGTTTATACTAATATTGGCGGAAAGCAGATTCCTCGCTTGCTTGAGAGGCTTTATTAACTTTAAAAGATTGACACACTGGTAAGTTACCTCCTAGTTTGTTTATTTTTAATATTTTATAATAACGTTAACAATTATATATATAAAAAATAGTAAAAAGCTTATTATTAGATGCAACGGGATCAAAAAATATTATCAAAAACCAAAATATTTTGGTTAAATCGTAAGACTGCATTGTGAAAAACACAAAAAAAATGAAGTTAGATAAGAGGAAAGCAATGGTACTAACATTATTAAAATTAGATGTACTTAGCAAATTACTAAGCCTCTTGCCTTCTTCAGTGAGATAAACGTGGAGGTAAAATCTTTTTATTCTTAAAATTTTTATAATTTCCTGCGAAGGTATAGAAAGGAAAGCGGTAAGTTCCTGACTTTTATCGTGTTTGTAAAGTAGATTGCTTTGATTGAAAACTAATAAGCCTGTATTAATTGAATGTTATTCCGCCAGTAACTCAAAAATTATATATTAATAAAACAATTATTTAAGGAAGAGCAAGGCTTGGCGTCCTGGGAGGCAAAGACGCTCATCTCAAACTTCTGACCAATTTTATAAATATTGGAAATGCCTTTATTTTCTGTCATGTATTAAAAAAAAATTAGCTTTAAGAATACAATAAATAATAAAGAAACTCTAAGAAAAAACTCAGTTAAAACTATAGTTGACAAAACATGTTATATAAATTTATACCATTCTCCGCAGTTTTTGGGAAGTAAAAATAATAAAACTGGTAAGATAAAAGCAATCCATAAGCGAAGGCTGCGCCAATAGCTATCTGGTTGAAAATCGACATACTGACAAAAGTGCTTTTTAACTTTCCGTAGCACGCCGTACTCCACGACTTTTAAACAAACCAACAAAAATATATAGTGTGACAAACTAGAACTTCTCCGCAGACTCTGTAGCAAAAACAGAGTAGCTGAGCGAATTACAACAGACCTTCTCAAATGAAAGGGAAAGAAAAAATACTTAGTTAACATGAAATATACTTTAGTGTTCCGCTTTTCCTATTGGTAGCTTGAAATTATTAACTTCTTTGTTCAAGCATTTAAGCGTAACCTTTTTACGTTTTATTATCAAAATTTCTAGCTCAAGAAGGTTTTGTGTGCCGAAAGCTCTTACAAAAAAAAATAGGTAAATTCGACTTTTAGCGAGATTGCTAAAGGGGGCCTTGTATGGACGTGTAATTTAAAAAATGGAAAGGCTGCTAAAAAAAGTTACTAACCATGATAATAAATATTTAAGAGCAGTTATGAGGCGAAAAAAAAGAGAAGTTACAAATTATGAATCATTAAAATTATTTATTTACTTAAAGCTTAAAAGAATTTAATTCACTTATCCCTGTAGAAAGCAAAGAATAGTATGATACCCGTTGAAAGGCTCTTCAATTTATAAATTTAAGACTTCGTATCTTACCGCTTATGCCTCTAGCAAATTTAAGCCAACTTACTATAAGTAAAACAATATTTAACATTAAAATCTAACACCTTATTAATTATGCGATAGCAAATAAAACTTTACTTAAAGTTTAATTCTTGATCTGCCGTATTTATTACATTTGCGCAAAACACACTTCTGTACAATATCCTTCTAACTTCAAGGAGTAAAGGTTTAAGCTTATGTTTCAGCAATAGTTTTATGAAATAATTACGGAGTCATGTATGAACTGCTTAAAGTCGGAATCAAAAAGAAAATATTTGGTAATATCTTTGAAAAAGATTAGAAGTAAAAATTGTTGCGTTAGAAAATGTATTACGTCTTTTAGTTTAAAACTTGTGTCCTAAGGACTATGCAAACTATAATAACAACCAGGCAAAGCAAAATAAACGCCTGTTTGCAATCAACTATACGCGAATGCAAAAAAAAAAAAATTACACCAGTTTTTTTAAATAGCATTTTTAATTTTTAGTTTTGAAACACAGAAAAATCTTAAATTATTACATAATTAAAGTCCTCTAAACAGCTTCCGTTAAACAAACTAAAGTCCCTCAGAATAAATCTAGACTGAGCTATCTTTAAAGGTACCCAGAACCCAATTAACGAATTAGAGTATAAATATATTAAAAATGAAAAAAATTTAACTAGCTTATACAAGAACAAACTTAACAAATAGCAAACCAACATATAAAGTAAAACATAACCAAAACTCAATAAGATAATAGTTTAAAAAGTAATTAAATATTTTGCTTGCTACATATTTTACTACTACAAAGGCAAACACACCGTAAATGAAACGAAATAAGCGAAATAAAGAGTTGCACAAATATTACAATAAGGTACCGAACAGTGTAAAACTACATAGTTTTAAACAAGGTATATACTATTCTAATCAACCACAAAAAAGTTATCGAATTCATTGTAAATTTTTTTGCTAAATTTATATAAATAGCCGTCCTCAAAAAGGTAAACAGATACATACAACAAAATTTTATGGTTTTTAATAGAAAGCACTGTTTTGTTTAATAACTTTCTCATTGGTTGATTTCAGAGGCGGTAAATCTTCGAAAACTTGTGTTTTGTAGGCAGTAAAGTAATATAATAGAGGTAATACAAAGTATATTATAGACAATAAAGTGTATAGTATAGGGAAGTCGAAGTACTAGAAAGCACTTTAAATTTATTTGATTATTATAGGCTCTCCAAGCGCACCAAACTCAACTGCGCCACAATTAGAGAAAAAAAATAACTGCAATAGGTACACGAACCAAACTTACAGAGAAACACGCGCACTACCCTTGTATGTCACCCTCTTTACTATAAACACATCTAAAAATGAAAAGCTACATTCAAACCGTATTTTTTTCTATTATGTGGGTTTTACTAGTCTTAAGTTTCTAAAATTGGTATATAATAAGCTCTAAGTTATATAATATAAAAGATTGTATAATATAGAATATAACATTATAATATAGAGCAATAAAAAGGTTTCCAAAAAGAAATTTATTTTATAAAGTACACTGAGTTACTCATTAGCAGATAAAATTGTGAAAGTGACAAATAATTTTGTCATAATAAAATTGTGAAAGTGACAAATAATTTTGTCATAATAACACAAACCCATAACCCATAAAATTTTCTAAAAATTGTTCCATTCTTTCAAAACTATAATTTATTTTTATATTTTTGACAGAATTCAAACCTTTTTCCTTATAGTTTTCCTTAAAAGATGTTTTTGTCCACGCCTTGAACTAAATTTTATTATAATCTTAAAAAAGAATGTGTTTTTTTTATAGATAAATATTGATCAGGCAATCCCAAGCCTTCACTCATTGAACAATAATAACTTTTTTTATTATATTTAAGACTTTAAGGAACTGTAATTACTCTTGCCATTTGAGCCAGGAAAATGGTGGGGTGCTTAAAAACCACATGCATGCATTAATTGTTCAGTATAGATTCTCTTTTCGCAACCTTTGTTAGTTAACGAGCTTTTTTTACTTGGTGACCAAGCATAAATGGTTAATATCAACTTTTTCTTATGTATTTTTATATTACAAAGTATTATTATCTTATTAAAAGTATTTCTTTGAAATTTAATTTCACTAAAATTATTAATTAGGGCGATATAAACCCTAAAGCTTTTCCTTGTGCAAGATCTGAGCTGAGCGTTGCCATACTTGACTTAATATCACAAGCTTGTAACTACAAACAATTAAAAAAGGGAGCAAATGAAGCTACCAAATGTTTAAATCGTGATATTGCTGAGTTTATTGTAATGGCTGCTGACACTGAGCCCTTAGAAGTTTTACTTCATCTCCCTTTGGTACACTTATAATATGCCTATTTCTGTGGTATGCTTTTTTTTTAATTTTTTATTTTAGGTTTGTGAAGATAAGAACGTTCCCTACGTTTTTGTGCCTTCCAAACAAGCACTTGGACGGGCAAGCGGCGTTTCGCGTCCGGTTATAGCTGTAGCCGTTTTAAGGAAAGAGGGGAGCCAGTTAACTTCTCAAATCTTACGCATAAAACTTGAAATCGAGAAACTACTTTATTAAACTATTTAAGTCCTTATTAAGTAATTATAAGATGGTTGTAAATTTAGATTATTCAGTGTTCATGTTTGTGTTTGTTGTAATAGGTGATTTACTCTTTTTAATAATTTTTCAATAAACTATTGTTACTACTGTTTATCCTATTTAATTCTAAGTCGGTCTACAACAGGACCTTGTGGAACACCTCTAGTTAAGCTATTTGTCTTTTTTAAAGCAATAATATAAAGCTTTTCTTACTAAAAAATAGTTTTTTTTAATCCTCATCTAAAATCTTCATATTCCAGTAAACAGTTTAATCAAACAGATTTTCTTTTGATGCCTGCAGTTGTTAACTTTTTAGTGTTATATTTCACTCCTATAATTTTTAATTGTTTGGAGTATAAATCGCCTTTTTCAATAAATTTGATAAATTAGCTGTGAATTTTTAGTTCGTCTTTCGATACTTAGCTCTTTTAATCTTTTACTTACTTCTGGTATTTTCGTATTCGTCACTTTCCAGTTTAGTAAAAGAATTTTTATTATAAAACTTAAAACAATTAAAATAGCAAAGACATTGAAATTTTTATAACAAAGGAAAAAATTTATGTAACTAGAAAACTTCTTTACCTTGACTCGATATTTTGAGAGACTGAGAGATAACATGTTCATATCTTTATTACCTTAACTTCGTTAAAATATCGTTTCGATGATGAATGCTTTACTCATTGTTGAGGCAACTAAAGGCGTTAACTTTGTTTTGGGGTAGCTGCGAGGTTTTGCTGATTAGTACCTTAAAAAATATAGATAATAGCAATTAAGTAAGCAATTATTATTTTAAATGGTTATAAAAAAAAATACTACAAATTTACTTATATAACTATTAAAAATCACTTTAACGATCTTAACTAAAACATATTAATGGTATAAACATTATATAATAAGGCATTTAATAAAAATATTTCTAATAATTAAATAAACTTTTACTTCTTAATAAATATTTAAACGAGTTGTAAAAATAACACTATATAATAAAATAAAATTTAATAAATGATAAGTATTACAGAGAACAACATGCAATATGTACCTGAACATGAAGCTGGTGAGCGTAGTCGGTAGCATAACAACAGACCGCCGCTTTAGCAAAGAATTTATTCACAAGTAACTTATATAATTCGTAATAAAATAACTTTAAATAAAAAATTAACACAAAAATTGCTATCAATATAACTTTTTTTTGATCCGCTTGGAACTGCGCGGTGAAAGTCAATGTTCATTTGCACTTTTTATATTAATTCTTATTTATACTTGCTTTGTTTTGCTTTTCTTTTTATTATTTTATTTTTAATTTATTTCTCTACTTTATTTTATTTGTTTTAATTTTTATATATATAACTAATTTAAATATTCTTTTTATGTATTTCTTATAAAAACCATTACAAATTTCTCTGTTAAATTTAAAGTTTAAAGCAAACTTTCTTGTTAACATTTAGCTCTAACGTGTATTCACTAAGAAGGGTTTTTTTTGAGTAAAACAAGTTTTTTGTTTTGGGGGTTTTTATTAAAAACTTTTTATTTATTTTTAATTAAAAATAATAACTCCGTTTTAAATTTAGTTATAAGTTGTACAAATTACAAAACTCTTCTTTTCGATTTTTTAAATAAAACTAATTTTTAACTTGTAGAGATTTTTTTTTATGAACAATAATAATTTCTCTAGATCGATTAAATTTTTTGTAACTACTATATAATTTAGCTTTTATGCGTACATATTTAAGAGATTTTGCTTTTTTCTATTGAGTTAGGGGGGATTCCCATTTTTAGTACTTTTTTTTACAAACTATTAAAAACATCTTTAGTTTAATTTCAATCTATTAAATTCTGTTGCAAATATTTAGCTTCCACGTATTTGTATTCAAAAGATATAGTTTTTTATAAGGGTGCTAATCACTAAAATTTATTTGAAGAGTTACATATTTTTGAGGAAAGTTACGTTAAATAAGTTTAATATGAGATAGGTATTGACCTAGTAGGCGCAATAGAGAGTAATTTTCTTCACATTTTTCATATTATAAAAAATATGAAAGTCATGGCCATAGATGTTTAAGGAAAATATCAAGTAATTTTTTGTTGTGGTGTTTTCGACCCACAGCAGAAGTTGGTTTCATAGAAATGTTTACTCGAATTCATTTGAGCGAGTTTATTAAACTTTGATAAACCAAGCGGGTACACGAGAGACTAAAGGCAGCGACATAAAAAAATACTTGTTAAACGGACGTTTAGGTGTAACACCTGTAGTCATGTACATAATTAAATTTTTTATAGTTCTTATACATATCTTATACATGAATTTTGATAATTAAATTTCAGTGCTTTTTGCCTTTTTTAAATATATTTTTCAAGTTTTACAAACAATCAATTTTTATATAATTGTCCCGCATAGGCAACCAAGACGGCTAAAGGCCCTACAATTTTTATACAACACAAAGTTGGAAAAGCAGGAAAATGGCGCTTTCACTTTTCTGATCGGACGGAATGAGGTGCTCTCCACCAGATATGATCGTGCTCGCCCCGGAGACAAGTATAAAATTAGTGAAGCCTAATGTAATAGGCAAATTACAAAAAATTGGTGGAAATTTTATAGATTTCTAGACCGTGAGAACTTTAAGTCACAAGTAATATTTACCATTCTTTTGTTAAAAGGCTGTTTCATAAAATTTATTCACAATTTAAATTTATGATTGGAAAATGTTAAGAAAATGACATGCGTATACTAAACTTTTTCTTATTTTTACTTGAACTAAGAACATTTAATTTCCAGGAACTCTCAAGAATTGCTCTTAACACACACCTAAAAACTAGTTAATAAAACTTGTATCATTGTTAGCTGGTATATGAAAAACTGGACTTAACAAGTTACTAAGAGAACACACTTAAAACTGCAAATATTAAGTTAATATTATTATAAGAAATATTTGTAATTTTAATATTTTCTGGATTCTCTCGCGGCCTTGCTTTCAATAATAACTTAGAAAATAGGTTTTAAAAATTTTATAATTATTAGCTTTTTGTTTAATAATGAAAGAAAGAAATTAACCTTGGCTACAATTAAAAAATGTGGTTTGGCATAGTAATATAGAAATATATAACGTGCTTCCTAGAGTGACGCGGAGTTGTATATAATAAGGTACAGTCACTTCAAAGATCGACATTTTTACACAACTAATATTTTTTCCTTAGATATTTTTATAAAAAGTTGTTGAGGTTCCCTTTATCTTTAAATTTATCTGTTCTCTTATAATATGCTGCTTGCTTTTTTTAATATATTGTGTTGAAATATTTATGGGTTTTAACTAAAGTCTGTCTCTAAGGTTTTCCTCTAAACCAGTATTTACGAGGTTTCTCCTAAAAACGAGCCTTTGCGATCCTTCCTTGAATTGCTAGGCCGTAGATAACAACCAAGCAATAATGAATAGCCAGCGAACAACTACAGGCAAAAAAGCAGAGCTAAAAGATAAAAACCCTCTGATTATTTTTTTTATTCATGATATTGGCTAGTCATGGATCGGGTCGTTAAAGAAAGCAACGAATTTACGAGCTCTCAACAAAGTGATATTGTACACATTAGCTTTAAGCTTATGTTAAAGCAACCTCATATACACATTAAAAATAATTCTACCCCTAACACCATAATATATATTTAAAGTGTATTTGCGGAGAAAGCGTGCGCCTGCTCAGATTTCGTAGTTTACCTCAGCTGTCATTAATCGATTGATGTGCTGACCGAGCCGAGCGTAGGTGCCGATAGCATTGCGTCGAAAAAACGTTACCCAGAACTTCAACTTGGAGGTCTTTATAGAGGGAATGTTGCGAAAAAACCACGGTGCACCATCATAATCCGTAGCAGCTTGTTTAGTCTCATTTGAAGCGAAGAAACTATTACCGATGGTCGTAGGCCATAGCAGTAGACGCGTACGTAATGATCGGTCGGATGCAAAACAAGTACAAGCGTCGTTTTTTGTGCAGCGAGAGCTTGCTTTCGAGCACAAAGTAAAGGGTAAAGAGTTTGAACCGCCGCCTTGGCTTTCTCCGCGATATGTTGACGTACGGTTACCCAAGAGCTTAATGTCAATAATGACTCCATGTTCTTCGCCTGAAAATACCTGGGAATTACCCTATTTTCAAAGGTCAGCGGCGGTAAAGGTGTAGTGCGCTTCTCTGGGATAAAAAGGGCTTTGCTCCTTTACGCATTAATAGTGATTCTTCAACCACGACACCCGTTGGCAAGCGCCACCAGGTAGTACTGCAATTTTAGCGCAATCCGATTTTATTACGTTAAGAAAATTAATAAATTAAACACGAGTGATTAATTGAAATGTATTAATTAAATTCGGTATCAACTAATTGTAAGTTGTAAGAAGAGCACAACAGTTTTGACATATTGTACCCCTTAATATCAAGATTTATCGCAATATGGTGCAGTAGTAATCTTTAAAGGATTAGCTCACACGACTTGTAAAGTCTTTAAGATGGTGTTCAATATTATATTATGAGCGCCGCTTATAATCCTGCTCTTCGGCCCCCCTTAAGTCAGTACGTGAGGGCTAATTAACTACGCAACTACGCAATTAGAAAACTTAAAAAACCATGGCTTATTATAGGCAAACTGCGGTGAGCTACATACAAAAGTAGTTCGCAGAGGCGAAAGAATAAACATTTTCTCTACTATGACCTCGACATTTTTTTCATATGCTTCCCTAACTAGCCAAAACAATAAAGTCATTGTTGGAATTATTTATACGTAACACTGACGGATCCTATCGCAGTAGAACCATTGAGAGTGTTACTAGCTCAAAGTCCGATTTTTAATAGAAACGCAGACACATTGCTGTTCCTGGGCGTGAACAGCGTCAAGACAGTTATAATAAATGTAAAACTTGATGTAGAGTGTCGAAAGAGAGCTGTGTATTTTCAGCGAGACATGCCGACGGAACAGTCAACTCTACATTAAATTAGAATTGTAGAGG